ACAGTATGTCCACGGCGTCACTCGCCAGTACCGAAATTTGAGCCGTCAAAAGTCCGGACCCCGAAGCCGGACGTTATTCCTTCTGAGCCATAGAAGCACTACAGCAAAGACTCGAGATATCTCAGGCACATTCACCGGTACCCAGCACCCAAAGTCCTCATGAAGTTACCATGAACCGTCAAACCTAAAGTCTGAAGCATAGTTACATCGGGGGTCGACATCAACGACGGTAGCAAACTCATGAACAGCTGACTCTGATGCCTAGCCTGGACATTCAGGCCACTAAGGACCCAGGCTTAGGCTTTGCGGGTATAGCCAAATCACATTTCTATAACATGCTGCACATGGGAAGTACTTGGTGTTTGCATGGCTTCGAGGTTTCGTTTAGGCGTGGGACAAGTTGCAATCTGTGGGCCGCTAAAGATGCCCGTGCACTGCTTGTCACCATGCTCTTTTCCGTCCAATCCATCCCAAAACGGGGTTGCGAACCGCAGCACAGGGATCTGAAGAGATGGGATCCCTCCACTCGAGACAACAGATTCACGAACGGCTTCGCAGGTCCCCTTCTTACGAAAGATAAGCTCGCAACGTTCATGAAGGCTTGTCAGCTTGGGAGACAGGGCTTGGGGTCCAGGAACCCAGGGTTCCTACATCCCAACCCTACAGCTCCAAACCGCCTAGCTCCCAAAGTCCCCCGCAAGTCATGGCAAGAGCCCAGGTGCCATTGGTGCCCGGGTTCCGTAGGACTCCAGGACGCATCCACGAAACCAGCGACCTACCCGCCGGCTTTCGGGCTTGGAGCCGTGAGGCCTATCAAGTTAGGGGTTTGGGGTCCGCGAAGATTTTTCTGACCGTTGAATCTCCTTTCCTCCAGACTAAACCGTCTGGTGCCCTCACCACTAAAAAAAGGGTCTCACAGAGTTCCCTGAACAATCGTACGTCGATCTGGGGGATATATATATATATATAAGTTGGCTAGAACTTTACACAGGGATGGCAAAAATGTCGAAGGCAAAGGGAATAAGTCGAGCAGTCCGGACTCTGCAGCACAACACCTGAAGTGAAATGACATGCAGATGCCAAGCCAACCAAGATCCCTATGGCATGCAACACACCGCATGCATTGGCTGGTAAATGAGTATACCATTGACCTCAAGCCACCAAAACCTTCAACCCAACAGCCGTATACGCTAAACGCCAGAACCATAAACCGTCCTTTGGCTTCGTTGCTGCTTGATGACGAGGGTATCATTACATCTCCCCCGAGGTTCCAAGAATCCAAGCCTTCACGCGGAACCTTAATCCGTTGAAGATCGAATGACCACCACTCTAAAGGTTGAGCCCTAGTTATGGGACCATAGCCTACTACTTAAAGGGCTTTGCCCTATGTCATATTTCGGGTACCATAGCACGTCATTGCCCTACTACTTCAAGGGCTACATCCATATTGACAAGTATGGGACTGTAACCTACCGTGTCGTATGGTTTGTGCAGTAGTCCTGCTCTGGGCCCCCAGAAAGTCAGTGACAGCATGTGAAGGGCTTACGGTTTGGGTTGTTTGACCCTACAGCGTCAAAGTTTGCAAGCTCAGCCAGCATGCAATTGCGCCCGTAAGCCTACACACATGAGTTCCCCTCTTGCGAAGAAACATGCCGCCAACGTTAATTGCCAACAAGTGGACAGTCAACAACACTTAGCCACTTAGCATGCGTTATCATTTGGTCATGCCTTTTGGGCAAGTCTTGCCTCAGCCCCGGTCTCCACACCGATCTCGAGGTAGTAGGCACCAGACCTCTGCTTTCGATTCAGCAGTGCTTGGTGGGGGCTGGGCTTGTGGGTTGGGGGTTTTGGGCTGGCTGAAGGCGTCTGGTTTAGAAGACAGGCCACTCGTTCGGCCCAGTGCGAGGGGCGATCTAGATTGTCATCCGGATTGAGCTGTCCTCAAGGTTGTAAGCTCCTTTTCAAGCTAGACTCCGTCCCTAAACCGCCAATTCCAGAGCCCTGCCTGACTGGTCGTTCATCAATTCAAGTCCACACAAGAGAAACCCAAACGCTCTGAGGTTCCGGCACCATGCGGTTGTCGGGCATACCTACCTGGGCGGCTTCATGTTTAGCCGCTTTAGCACTGTGATGGGGATGTGTTCCTTCAGTTTACAGCGTTCCCTAAACACGGCGGCTGCTAGAGCGAAACCGAAAATGCCCATGCCACCATCCCAAGCCCTCATCCCAAGACCCCAAAGCCTCAACGTCCGCAATAGACCTCCAAATCGGTACTAACCCAAAGTCCGAAGCCAGAACCAACAGGGCGAAGCCCCAACCATTGCATACTTCAGCCCTCAAAACCTCAAGCCTCAAACCGTATATAGAGGAAAACACAGCGAAGCCCCGCCCCGGCAATCCTGTACCTGAATGCCTTGAAGCTTGTAGTTTCCTGAGGATCTCGGCCACTCCAGGCGAAAGCTCCACCAACCTGGTAGCTAGCCAAGCTGAGGGCCTATATCATTAAAGACACATGGCTATGCCATAGCTGGAATCACCATACGGAAACTATAAGGCGCTTGCAGCGCATGCTACAGCTCAGTATTCAGACCTCTGATGCTTTGTTTTTCGGTGGTAAGTTTCAGGGTGTGTAAGCGTCTGCGGCTTCCGGATTTAAGGCTTCAGGTTTAGGGCGTAGGACTGTGTAGGCTTCAGGATTTAGGGTGCAAATGTCTCGGCCTTGCTTGGTCCTAGCGCTCTTCGGAATGAGGGCCTGTACGGTGTTGATTCGGATTCAACTCTTTTAAGGCTTCGTGCTTAGGCTTGGAGCAATTAGCGTGTATAGAATTTAAGCCGGGGTGTGATATAGTAACTTGCAGGGGCTTAGTGATGATATCCCCTTACAGCCCCCTGCAGATTTCTCTTTTGTCATGACCTTGTTCTACATATCACATTCGAGTGTTGGCTTGAGCGGCTGGGTGTTGGGCTTGGATCGCGAGCTTTGAAGGCTTTGGGTTAGGACTAGGACTAGGATTTGTGGCGTTCGTGCTGTGGGGGCTAGGACATTTGGATTTTGGCGCTTGGAGCTAAGCTTAGGGTTTGGCGTTTTACGGGTTTGGCTTGTTGGGTCTTAAGGTGAGGGTTAAGCTTTGTTCTAAGGTTGTCGGGCGTCGGGTTGTTGCTTGAGATCTCAACTTTTGAGATGAGGTGAGGTAGGGTTCTGCAGTGATGTTGTAAGTTTAGGGTCGAAAGTCTGAGGCAGGCTCTGAGGGGACATCCGGCTGAAACTTAATGCTTGGGATTCCCCTGTCGGTTTACTGTAGTTGTCGTAGCTGACAGCTGGACGCCGCTCTACCGATTATGAGCATGCTCATTACGACCGAAACTCAACAAGCTTTAAACCATGAGCTCAAACCGTGAGGCTAGAAGCACACAGGACATCCTTTCAACCCCGAGCCCCCCGCCCCTGGGAGCACAACGTCCTAACACCACCAAACTTTGCAGACAGTGTCATCTGATCTTCTGTTCCATTTCTACAGCACTCTCCTATCTTACATGATATCTATATTCGATTCTACTATCGAGTCGGGTTGCTGAGTTCCCTGGTGCAGAAATGGCTAACCTTCTCGACCCTGGTAGGGCGATTCGATCTCAACAAGGCTAAGGTCACCTACTTCTCGTACAATATAACACGTTTTGTCGTACTGAATTTTAAGAGAACATGAAGAGAACAACAGAATATACTAAAGTATAATATGATACTTTGAAATATTAAGAAGAATAAATTACAACTCAACAAAGTATATAACAACATATGGTAGAATGTAGTATATTTCATGATATATTAATATTGGCTTCGAATATGAAACATGTACCGTTATTGCACTATCGCATAATATAACATAGCACGAGATAAAACAACAAAACCCCATATATTCTATTATAATATGCTACAGTATAGTAAAAAAATGACATGATAAAATATAGCAATATTATGGTCTAATATACACCACGGCCCTTCAACCTTGATCCGAGCCGAAAAGCTCTGAGCAGCCGCGGAAGCGCCGATCCGCTTGCGCCAAGGTGGTGGAGGAGGTGGTGCTGCCGCCTTGAAAGGGGACTCCAATATATATATATATATAGATAGATAGATAGATAGATAGATAGATAGATGGATAGATGGATAGATGGATAGATGGATAGATGGATAGATGGATAGAGATAGAGATAGAGATAGAGATAGAGATAGAGATATAGAACCATATAGTACTCCTTGACGGGGACCCTATCATAAAAAAACCTTAAAGGAACCCTTAAAGGGGACCCTAGTATCGAACCCTGTAGTATCCCTTAAAGGGGGAAGCGGGGGTGCAGTTTCCTGTTGCGCTTTGGGGATTCTGGACTCAGTGCTTGTTTGGGAGGCTTCGGCTTTCTTGTTTTGGGGTTGGAAGGGCTTGGGTTTAGGTTTTCAGTTTAGGTTTCAGGGTTTCCGGTTCGGGGTTCAGGGTTCGACTCTCGCTCTCGGAGAAGGCAGGCAAGCCTGATCAGGGTTCGGGGTTTCGGGTTTTTTGACACTCACACTCGGGCAAGCCAGGCAAGGTCTGCAGTGCTGCAGACAATACTGGTTCGGCGATGCTAACAAGGCGTTCCAGGTAGATATCACCCAGTCGGGTTTGTGGGTTTAGGGTTTAATAGTTTACATAGGCCTGAAGGGGTTTAGCAGTTTCGCTTTTTTGTTGTTTAAGTGTGGTCGTTCAGTTGTTTTGTTGTTGTGGGGTGTCAGTTTGTTGTCCTTATGTCCGGGGAATTTCGGTGCTCACACTCGGCCAACCCAGGCGAGGCATGTGGTTCGAGATCTGACTGAAGTGAAACGGGCATCCGGGGGGTGTAGGGGTTTGGGGCTGCAGGGTTTCGGCCTCCGGCCTCAGGGCTTTGAAAGGACTTTTAGGGTTTGGGGCTTTAGGTTTGAGGATATAAGTGAGAAAGGGTTCCCGCCACGAGTTAGGATGCCCTTGAGGGGCTTCAGCAAGGGGAACTCCCAGTATCGTAAAATGCCGGCTGCTTCCTCCAAGCGGCGGCTTTCACAGGGCACCTCCGGTGAAGTGCCATTCAGCTCGTCCTTGGACGATTTTCATGATAATGGACACTTGAAGGGTTTCAGCTAGGTTGCTATATGGGCAATGGAACTATTCGAACAATGCCCTACAAATTGCAAAGGCGTACAGAACCGTATAAACACCTGGCATGAGATGATTTACCCTAAACCCTATTCTAATACTAGCAGTATATTCAAGCCCCTATACAAGCCCTCCGGAGCCCGAGGGTCGCAAAAGATGACTTCGGCCGTGCAGACAGTGCTGCGGAGCTCGGGCCAGGCAAGGCCATCGCATGTGAGGTTCACCAAGCCTGTCAGGTTTGGGTACAGGGTTTTCACCCAACCTGGGTTTGTTGTGGGGCGAGGGCCTGTCAGGTTTGGGTACAGGGTTTTCACCAAACCTGGGGTTTCCTGTGGGCGAGGGCCGGGGGGTTCCATTTTCCCAGGGCCTAATTAGCCGACTGTGCATGGGGCTTGAGAATTCATTTCTAAAAGGATTAGAGGTTGGAAAATTCGTGAAGATTCTTTATGCAGGGTCTCAGGATGAGGGCAGGGCTTGCGTAATGAAGCCTGTAAGTTCCACACGATCTCAAAGCTTTTCGAGGGTTTATGTAGGCTGCGGGTTGGGAATCCCTCAGCTGTCGGCTTCGCAGGGTCCGAAGACTGATCTTACAGGGGTTGAGCTTGGTTCATGTAGGGTCTTAGCATTTTCAAGACAGGGCTGTGGCTGGGTTCCCTCCACTTCGACGTTTGATCCATAATCGTGCAAGGCTTCCGCCGGGCTGCATGCGACAATCGAAGCAACTTGCTGGATGTTGAAGACATGTAGGATCAAAAAAATAGGGACAGGACGGAAACCTGTGCAAAACCGACGGTCGGAGCTTCAAAGACAACTGCTGCAGCAACAGCATTACCAGCAGCAGAAATTCCAGTGATTCTAGTGGTAGTATTCGTTATGAAAATCGACAGTTGCAACTGCAGTTGTGGCATGTTGTGCTATACAAGTAATAATAGCCACTGTCGTAGTCGCACCCCGGACTATTCGAAAACAAACGATGTTGAGCTTCAGTCAAAATCTTGACTCAAGATTGTGCACGTCAACTTCAGCTGGAATTGTAGTGTTCGCACTTCCATGCTTTTCGAAGGCAGGAGATGAACATCGCACAATGTCTCTCCGTGTCATTAGGTGAAAGGTTGCACTTGTCGATTCAGGGTTGGATCCACGCGCATCGGGCAGGGCTTACAGCATCGCTGGTTCAAAGCTGTTGGCACACCTAGAGAAGCATGTCTTCTCCCCATCCTCACCCAAGCCAATCCCAAGGGGTCACATCCTGCAAAGGCAACAGCAGCGGCAAGGTATCCCAACAAAATCGCGTTGCAACCGTTCAGCAACCTCTAAAGCCCAACTCCTCAAACAACAAAAACACAACCCTAAACCCCTAAACCCTGAACGCTTAAACCCTCCAGCCCCCTCTGTCCGGCCTTCCTTTTCGCAGGGCACACTGCAGTTCTCACCCTGCTCTAGACCTCGTAGCAATATGTATGGGATAAGGGCCTTTAGCCCATAACCCTTAATGCACCTCTTATAATGATTGCAGTATGGACTTCAGGGTTGCCAGGCTCCGGGCAGCAACATCTTTGGGGTACAGGGCTCCGGGTTTAGAATTGGTTTCGAGCTGTTTCGGGGTCTCATGCGGATTTGAGGTTGAATGCTCAATCCCCAGCAATGAGCTCAGGGCTTTGATCTGGATTATCTATGTCAAAATTGCTACTTGGGGCAGTACTGCTGTGCTGTACTACCACCACTTGACAAGAACTACACACGTTATTCGTGTTATGGTGCTTCTTGGCCACTAGAGCACTGAATGCTGCCTCACGGTGAACATAAGGGCCTAAATACCCACATCCTGTAGGACACGGTAGGAGTTTGCCAAATCCCGTAGCCGGGTCAAGTTCCCAACTGCTCAACCGGCGTCTTCACCACCTACAAGAGACTCCCAAACTCCTTCATCAAGGAATCCACCTCAAACTATAAAGAGACAACCGCAGCTCCGGTTGTAGGTTCCCTCCTTGAGGAGCTTAACCCTTTTTGTTGCCAGAGGCGCGGGTTCGCCCATCACAGGCCTCCGGTGACGAAACCAAGCAGCCTGTGACCTTTGGCTTTTTGTTTTTCCGAGGGGAATTTTGGGGTTTAGGGCTTTGGTTCTAGGAGTTTGGGATTTCGGCTCGCAGTTGTTGACGATATGTTTCTTTTGGGTGGCCTTGCCATTGGAGCTGGGGCGATAAGCAAGCATCAGTATCTGGCATATGCAGTTTTTGCATCCAAGCACAGCGAGCGAAGCAACAAATACAGGGGGAGGGATAGAAGAGTCAGACAGAGAGCTAAAAGCTGGCCAGTCCAGATATTTATGTACATATATATATATTATATATATATTATATACACACACACACATATATATATACATATATATGTATATATGTATGTATGTATGTATGTATGTATATGTATATATATATGCTCATACATACATATATATATATATATGTATGTATATATATACACATCATATATATATATATATACATCTACATGTAGCGTCGCAACACATGCAGAGACAAAGACAGAGCCAGTGAGAGAGCGCGAGCGAGAGAAAAATAGAGGACAAAGATGGAGCGCAACAAAAAAATGCTTTAGCTGCATCACATACTTCCCTCTGAAGCGTCATTTGGACTCTGTGGGTAATCTAAGGCCATGTACCCTACATGGTACATACCTTGGCCCTGATCTAGACTATACCCTGGCATCTCTCAGAATCTCCATGAAAGATCATAAGCGCCTTATATGCAAGCTCATGAAACCCTGATCAAAAGCCTACATACCCCGATTCTAAGTCACATCAGTCGCAGGGCGCAAGGGAATCCCGGACAGGTCGGCAGGAAGTCGTAGCCCCGCCCTCGCTCGCCGTCTGGCTGCCACTCCTGTCCCCGGAGAGTCCAAGGCCATTGCGACTACCGGAGAGTCCTTTAGTCGTAGTATTTTGTAACTACAACTACTAGAAACTATTCGTAGAGTAACAATATAGAAATAGTAGCAGCAGCAGCAGCTGCAAAGCAATCTGCCTGGCGGTGCTATTCGGACTTCGCACTTCGGTGTTCACCATGACAAACCCCACCACAGTCGAAAAGGAACAACTTTGGATGAATTCCGTGCTCCGACGTCAACGCCTTCGCCGGCATCCATAGCCGCGTATGTATGGAACAAGGACAACACAAAATACAGATAACTCGGCATCTGCCCGCGAAATCTGAAACTGCAAGAGAGGATAAGAGTGGATTTATGCTGCCAGGGGGGTGCCTCCTGCAAGCAGTCGTAAGCTGTGGCTCCTGCTATCGGCACCTGAAACTTCCGGGGTTGCGACATGCTCGTGCTCCATCGTTGTACATAGTCCTAAAGCTCGGAGGGGTACGGCACTTAGGTTTCTTGTTAACAAAATAGGCTCCAAACAACTTACCATGGGAGTGTGCCGATACAGCATGTATAGGGGTCGAGTTACACATGGTATACCCATCGAGTCCAAAGGGTTGATGTCGGTACAGATCTTACCCTGAATAGTGCAAGGCACTACTCTGCAGAAGGATCGTCTTCCCTGCTGCAATGCTGCAAGGCTCAGGTGTTGACCGCTTCTTACAGCGCCATCGCTCGTGCAGGTAAGAGAGCAAAGCTTTATTGTTGAAGCAAAGAGCCACTTGTCCGAAAGCCTGGAATTGCAAAATTGACTGACTCAGCTCAGACTTCATAGATCCGCGCTGTCATGATGGCGATGATGATGGTGGTGGTGGTGGTAACTAGGACGATGGTGACAGCCTGCGCCGGTGATGCATAAAATGCTGGTGGTACCAACCCTCCGGAAACGACTGCACTCAAGCGACCAAGGTTGCTCTTGTCCAGGATTCCTCCAGTGCGAAGGGCTGTAAAGATTCGATCGAGCTTAGTAACCTGTTAGGATTGGGCCTCGTGTTAGAGGTTCGGCGTGCAGTGCCGGGCTTTTGGGTTCTAGGTTATGCTTCATGTAGCTTTGGTCGAGGAGCCCCAGGCATCCGGGGTCTTACTCAGTAGATCAAACGCACCCGCGCGCGCAACGGCAGATGCGAAATGCAAGATTGGTGCAGCTCAAAATGACAGAAGTCAAATCTCACCGATCCTGGCAGTTCCACATGTTCATCTGCACGTAGCTTGACACTGGAACCTTCACCTGTTGGAGCCCTGACTTCCCACCTATGGAACCGTGTATTGTCCTACTACAGTATGTTCTCGTAGTGTCTTCAAGACAGCATCGAAAAGTGTTTAGAGGCTTCCAACCGAAAAGTAGGTTCAGGTTAGTATGCTGCGACGGTTCAGGTCTTCAACCCGTCCTGCCCGTCTGAGCTCCACCCATAGACCTGGTCCAGGAGGACATCTTTTCAGGGTTGTCCTTGAAAGGGCCCCAGCCAAAATGTTTACAACCATGTACCTCTACAAGACCACGACAGAATTACAAGGAATCCCAATTAAAGTGTCACCGAGTTTGTCGTATTCAAGGGGTCAGGGTGAGGGTTTTGCGACGCTCTTGAACCCTTGCCTAGGCGAGAGTTGAGGGATCACGGTTTATGGGGTTGTGCGGACTAAGGATGCGTATGGCTTACCTTATACGGGGCTTATAGGGTTTGGGCTTATAGGGTTTATGTCTGGGTCTACGTCTGCGCCTTCGAATTGGTCTGCTACGGGCAGCTTGAGGGTTCATATGGCTCAGGGCTTGGAGGCAGGATCTCAAACCCTAAACCCTGAACTCTAAACCTGGCAGCCGAAACTGGAGGTGTGAGAGGATTTCAAGACGTCTCTCCTTGCGGGGTCGAGGGCCTGAGTTCCAGGATCCTATGCGACAAACTTGGTACCAGTAATGTTGGAAAACCCTGGCCCTAGCCCTAACCATGAACCGTAAGTGCAGATGCCTCAACCCCCCAAGCCTAGCCTGAACCCGATCAGCATGAACAAGTTTGCTGTTTACTGGAGTGGGCTTAAGGTTCATAGGGGCTTTCCTTTGCAAGGCATCAGCCCAAGATTCCACCCGACACCCCCCAAAACCTCACACCCGACTAAACACCAGACGAAGACCTGATTCGCAAGCGCGAAGAACAAAAAAAACAAACACACAAACGAGCAAACAAACAAACACACAAACAAACAAACAAACAAACAAACGAACAAACAAACAAACAAACAAACAAACAAAAGCACACACACACACACACACGCACACGCACACGCCTAAACGCAAGGAACTCAACAAACTGGAAGGATTTAGAGTTCAGGGTGCAGGGCGATTCTCATATATAGCTGCCACATCCTGGACCCCAAAGCCTTAAAGCCCAAACCCCAAACCGCCCAAAAGCCCGATCCCGCCGAGTAGCCACTGTGGCATTGCCGGAGATGGGATCGGTTTGGAGGATGACAGCCGGGAAGGATGGCGAGGGATCGCACCCAGGATGCCTTTTCAGGGTTGTAGCATTTGGGCCATGGGCTTGTGGGGTTTGGGTTGCAGGGCTTGAGAGTTTGGGTGTGTGGGCTGTGGGGCTTTGGCCTTTGGGTTATTTATCTACATTTGGAGCTAGCTTTACGGCGGTAGTGTTCCAAAGCTTAAGGTTTCAGGGCTGTGAAAGCAGGGCCTCAGTGTTAGGTTTTTCGGATCGGGAGGGCTGGGGTGGGTTCAGAGTTTGGGAAGAAGGGACCGAGGCTCGGTTTTGGGGCTATAACGCTTTGGGCCTCTGGATGGTGCTGCTTGGGCCCGAAACTCAAGTGAACTTCAAGCATAAAAAACTAGGCACGCCAAAGCCGAAAGACGGAACGCCGGGTTGCAGTAGGACTACAACGGACGAGTCTGCACAGCGGGCGCTGAGCTCCAGGTCCAACCGCACTTCCCCGACGAAGTCCTTGGGAGGAGATCCAGGTTGGGTTATAAACGGGGTTGTTACCTTCAACGAGCTGTTTGTCTCTGGCAGGGGCGGCAGTGGTGGTGGCGGCGGTGGTGGTGGTGGTGTCTGCATGAGGCTGTGCAGGATTTGTAGATGTTTTGCGGCTGTTGAGAAGGTCTCATCGGACTTTGTCCGTGTTTGTACATGTCTTGCATAGTGTGCCTGTGGATTGTACTTGCAAGCTCGAGGGTTTTGAGATTTCGAGACGGGCATCCTGCCTTGTGCTAGGCAGGAAAGTGGCTTCAGCCTGATGTTTCGGCGCGACAGCTGATCTGTGGAATATAGGGAGTAGGTCTCGGCGATCAGGCAGCCTAAGGCAGGCTCATCCGTCACGTAGGAGTTCCGGTCTGGCGTATGCGCATACTTCGCGAAGTTACCATCCTAGCCTTACTGGCTACGTGGGCTTCTGTCTCGAAGGAATGTTGCGCAGTATCGATGACCGCAACAACTTATGGGTCCAGGAAGGAACCCGGGCATTGCGGGGATGCGCTGCATGGCCGGAGAGCATGGGGTAAGGTCCTTCGCTTACAGTTGCCAGTTGCCCATCCTGAAATCTTTAAACTGGAATAGAAACCCTAGACCTTGTATCTTCGAAAGCCGAAAACATGACGACGGTGACATATGCCCAGGTAGACGATCGGGGCAACAAGAGTCTCAAGATTCGAGATCGGATCGATCCACCTCGACCTTCTTGTGAAGAGTCGAACAAACCGTTCATTTCTAGGGCCTAGGAAATTTGGTGCACTGAACTGCTGGCTGCCATCCCAGGGGCACTCCAGGTCAGGGGCCACAGCCAGAACAGTGCCAAACTCTTCACTAAGACCATTCATTCCTGGCATTGCTGGTAGGACGAGCCTATGAAAGGGCCTTACCCGACTAGACATGGAACCCACCCAAAACTCCCTTAGCCTTTCTCCAATAAGCCTGTATGTTCCTGCTTGTCCGGTACCAAAACTCAGGTCTTCTTCTCACTTGCAGTGCCGAATTTCGATTTCGGGGTGTAGGGCTATAGTTCTAGAGTTCCGGACAAACAGGCGGCAGTGGTCAGAAGACTCAAACAATGGCTTTTTAGCACTGATCGCAGTAGCAGCACGAATCAGGCTATTCGCGGCCCAAGTGTCTCGAGTTAAGCTCCGGGATCGAAGTGCTCTGCAGTCAAAGCCTACCCGAACTGAGGAGGACCGTACAGTCAAGAATTTGCAGACAACCCCGAAATCAGAAGGAGTCTACGAGCCAACGTAAACTCTTTTTTCTTGCGATTGATTATGCTGAATCATGCTTGGCTAGCCGGTCTGCGGGTACATGGCAGACTCCGACGCTTTTTTCCAGTGTTGGAGTTGGTCCGTAGACACTGCGCAGCCGCTCTGCAATCAAAACATGAATCCTGGCTTGGCTGGCTCTGAGCCGTCGTCTCCGCAACCGCCGGACACTTTGGATGACGAATCTCGCTGTAGACTTTCAGCAGCGCTCCGGAAACTTGCTGGGTCGAGTATGTGCGCAGCATGGTTGTCCGTCGTGGCCCCGCAGGCATTGCAAGGCTTCATGTCCGTGTATTGCAACGAACCATGAAGTCGTCGTCGTTCGACTTCCCACTCGGCAGCAAATCTGTGATGTCAGGACGTTCTAGAAGCTCTAGGGCGGTCGGCAGACACACTTTCCATCAAGGATCCGCACCCCTGCGCAGTCGGCACCTTGGAAGCACAAGCGCACAAAGAGTGAGCCAAACGGAGTGTTAGAAGTATGCCTGACATATTGCACGTCTTTCCTGACGATGTCTTGTGTGTCTTTCATGATGACTGTCATGAACCGGGAAGCACCTCAAAAAAGGACTCACCAGAGGGGGCTTACATCTTGAACACTCCCCGAAAAGCGTAGGCCCCTGAAGGTGCCACGGGACTTAGAACGCGAACTGCAGAAACCTTAAATCCCTTGCCAAACTTGGCAAGGGGTGGGAGCAGTCTCGCTAGTGCTTGCCCAAGCGACTGGCGCAGGCCTGCAAAACAAGTGGCACGCAGAAACAACTCAGGGCAACATGAAGTTATCGGGGATCCTGTCACGTCCACGTCTCGAAGAGTCCTTCTCCCCAGACATGGGGGGTTTCCGAAAATAGGGGACCCCAATATAGCACCCTAAATAGTAGGATCCTTATTATAAGGATCCCCAAATAAGGTACCCCTCATTTTCGGAAACTCCCATATTTTTCCAAGACCCGAAATTCTCACCTGAACCCCGGATCCTCAACTCCGACTCGTCTTCTCACTGGAACCGTCTCTTTCGAAAGCTCGGTGAGCCTTCTTTGGTTTCGACCCCGATTTCCCATGCTGGAGGAACCTATGACACCTTTGAAGGGTCTCGGTGTAAGCGAATGAAGCCGGAAGCCCACTCTTGGAAAGGATTTGCTCATGCTTGAACAATTGTAGGACATGGACCGATATGCTATATTGGTTGACTGGCATCACCAGTAGACGGCTCAGCCCCGCCGAAGATACTTCGGAGGATCCTTACTTCAGGACCCCTCGCTTGGGATTCGCAGTTGCTAAGAAGCCCCGAGTAGCCACCACGACCTGCATGAGAGTAAACAAGCGAAGATGAAACTCAAACAGCTCCTGACTCTGTGAATCCTTGAGATGGAACCGTTTTGCTTCGGAGTGTGCCATGTTGTTCTTCATCTTGGAAATCGTAAAGTCTAAACTGGCGAAACCCCGAATTCGACATTGAACCTCTGCCCTGATAGCCTGACCCGTGCTCATGCGAAAGGTCTTGAGCCCGAGGGACGAATTAGCCCGTAAATACTTCACGATATCTGAAAAATGAACGCCGGAATCTCGCACCAACTGCTAAAGGTAAAGCCTCGGAATCAATACCCAATACCCTAAACCCTAAACCCTCTAAACCCTAAGCCCTAAACCCCCTAAACCCTAAACCGGAATGTGCCTGATAGTACACCGGCTCCACGGCCAACTGCTGTATGGAAGGCTCTTGTGACAACCTTGGTGTGAAAGCGCCCTCCGTTGTCTGAAAGATGGCGTACCATCAAGGCTTAAAGCCTAGAGTGACAAGCCTTATGCTGCTACCCACCATACAGAGCAGCTCAACACCTGGAAAAGAGAGCAGTTCAGCTCTTGAAAATGGACCCATCCCTCGAACCTTACATTGCAACCCTGAGCAGCAAGCCATACACGACAAACCACCCAACTTGATGTTAGCTCAGCTACAGTAGATTTTGGAGTCTACGGCTTAGATAGATTAGCATCTTCTGCAGGACCTCCTCAGAGTCGGACAAATCCAAACCATAAGCCACACACCCAGGCCGCAAGAGAACAACCAGTTGGTCAGCTAGGTACCAAGCCAAACAAACTCTCAGATTTAAAGCCATACAGGAACGCAAAGACCCGAACAAAACCGTTTGAGGGACAACAGAGTGCAACAAGGACTTTCAAAACGCCATATCCCCAAGCCCCAAGCCCACACAAGAACCCAAAACCCTCATTCTGCACCCGAAGACTCGCTCCAAAGACGACTCATCTCTGCCAGCCGCGGCCGCGGAGGCCAAGGCAAAGGCGGCTTGGGGAGGCCGGTAGGGACCTGAAGAGCTGATTTTTTCTAAAAAACTTGCACATCAAGGTTTATAAGGTGATTGCTTATAGGTGGCTTGAAGAGCGGATTGTATTGGCAATTTCGGGCTCAGAGGCTGCTGCAGAAGGGTGTGGGTTTAGAGGGCTTTGCCATGTATGTTTTAAACATGGTCCAAGTAAGTTTAGAGAGTGCAGCACATTACAGGAGGCATGCTGCAAACATGGGGCCCGTAATGTGCTATTCTCGATAAGTTTAGTGCATAGGGGCCCTGGAAGGGCGTCTACATAGGCGCCTTAGGAGACCTGAAGAGCGGATGTTTCGGGTTTAAAGGTTGGCTTAACGGGTTAGAAAAGTTGAGGGGTCACCGCAACTTAAGGTTTACAGAACTTAGACCTTACAGGTCTGACAATGGGTTCTAGGGCCGTTGGAACGGTAAGTTTTCTGGGATTTTTTAGGTGTCTGCTGTTTAGGGCCTCTAGGTTTAGGTCTAGGCTAATGCTCTCACAACTCGGGCATGCCAGGCGATCCCAGTCACAGACAAAACAACCAATCTAAGGCCATCACCGCCCAAAAAGCGGTCCACTCATCACAGATCAGATGCTCAAGAAGCAACTACATTACGACAGGTCTACATGTGGGGGCCTAGTGGCCTGTGCGCCAGCAAACAAAGAAGCAAGGATGACAAACTCCTCAACCAGGCGGCAAGCTCAATAGGCCAAAAGCAGCTACGGCAACAGTCACCTTGACATTAGCATCAGCTCAGGTTTCAGCCAAGGGAGCCCCAGGATGCAACCAGCTCGAACCAGGGTATCCGTCTGGACTACAGGGCAATGCCACTTTAGGCCGGCAGCTAGTGCACAGGACAGAACATGTTGCAGCAACCGCGCCCTACCAACATACTCAGCATCAAAAGAAGTTCTCATCATGGCTGGTGAAACACTATCACGCTCTCCGGGCGGGAGCAGGGACGATAAGCCAGCTATGTAACCAAGTTTCAGCTGAAGCTCTCAACACTGCAGGAGTCTGCGAACACCGTACTTGCCCGACTATACTGCATGTAGTAGAGCGAACACTCCAGCAGAAAGGAAAGGGAAAAAGGCAGAGGCAGGCATTGGCAAGAGCAGGCCCGCCGCTGGGAGGAGTCAGGACAATGGCTGTCATCGGCCAATTGAACGAGAAGAAAAACACGGCCTGATCAGAAGGCCAGGGCCGCTGCAAAGGACGAGGCGGAGGTTAGCCGTGCCGAACCGGCTCGCATCCCTCCGCCGGCAGCTCCACCCAGCCTCCGACGATCGATGTCTTCCCAGTTTTTGCAAGCCGTGGACTCGATGCTTGTCTTGCCTTTCTCCCAGGGAGGCGTAAGGGCTCTGTCCTTCCGTTGAATCACTAATCACTTTCCGCATGCCGGAAAAATACGTGCGACCACGCACAGGCCACTCGGCATGTCTTCTCGTCTTGAGCCGTGCCTCTAAGGGTTTAGGGTTTGGGGCCTCAAG